CAGTTGAATATTTATAAATTTACATCCAGCTTCATATTCAAGGGCACATTAATTTACGCTAGATGCTTACGCTCACAAGGAAAAATGAACAATATTTGGCCTTAACTTGTTCTCTACAGTGTAATCAAGTGGTTAGTATGGCCGTAAATTAATAAAAGCATATTAACCGGTTAACTTTTTACAGGAGTGCCCTTAACCAGGAGCTAGGTTGGGGGGAGGGGGGTGGAGGCTGAGTGATCACACCTGGAATTAACTAGGTCATTTTTAAAAATAGAAATCTATGCAAACAAATCTTTTTATTGGAGTAAACTATCCCGGGTATTGATTTTTTCTATACGAACAGACATAAGACAGATAAACTTTTCTACCTGAAATTTTCCAAAACCAGCCATTACAAATTGTGCTATACAAAAACTAAAACCTCTTGTTGTTGAATTAATATAAGAAAATGGCGAACCTGGAAGTGAAAGGGGTGTACCAGCGGGTGTACGTTACGTCTTAATGGGCCAACCATTTGACTTTTGAGGGGGAGGGTATGGGTGATTTCAGGAAAAAATATCCTGCAGACTGATTTCGAGGAAAAACTAATTCTTGCAAGGAAATACCTGGCGGAAAAAGTTTCAGCACTGAACAGAAATATTTTTCATGGCTTATAATGCTGGAAAAAATCTTACATCGTCAAGCTTTTAATGTCAGGAAAAACATTATATCACCAGAGGTTTGGGGAAAAAAAGTCTTACCCAAACCAAATCACCCATTCCCCCGTCAAAGTCAAATGCTCGGCCCCTGACCAAATTTTCTTCTTGCATCGATGAGTTACCAATTTCTATAGGTATGGGGCTCCGCTATAAAAATTTGCTTGCTATAACGAGTTTACAAGGAAAAGTCACTAAAATTGTATGACATCTTAAGAATATTTTAATAGCTGACATATTTCATTGGTAAGACTTTACAGTCAGATAGTTATTGGTTATTGGTTTTATAGAAATGAAGATTCAGAAGGTTTTGGGAAACAATACGGAACCAATTACCTGCTCTAATAGCAATGGAACAGAGAGCATTGTCATTCCTTCGGAAAACTTCAAACCACAAGGTAAAAGCAGTGTCACTAGCTGATCAATTATGAGATAATTATGAGTACTTGCACTGTACCGACCATTATTTAACAAGTCCTACCAGTTTTTCAAACATTGCACTAAGCTCGACCACTTCAGAGCAATTTGGCACCGGCAAGATTGTTTGGAACTAGTTAAGATTGAGTTAAGAATAGCCTATATTATGCTAACTCAATAAAGGGGAAATAAAAGGCCAGAGAGCTTAATGTTAAATTCGGTTTTGGCTAAACATTTCACTTTTTTGCCTAATCACTTTAATTTTATCTCAGACACTGTCACCGTATGCATGCTTTACCATGGTGAGGTCAGGAAGTGGATACCCGGTGAAGAAAGAGTTGGATTAAACGGGTTAGGCATATAGG